AGGGAAATGAAACCCAGATCATGGCTTGCTTCTCTATGGCCTTATTAACCTGTATCGTTAGTTTTGGTGCTGTCAGATTACATACTTGAATGGCTGGTAATCAGATTGCTCCCACACCCATTCGTTTTGGCTTCCCTCATCAGGGGTCATAATTTCTCTCCGTCTACCCTACCAAAACCTTTAATACTTGTAGATACCTCAATTATATCGCTGGTCTATTTTCTAAGTTTATGTAACCTATTGTCTTAATTTAACCTCTTTAGAATCCATACTATTCTGCTGAATGTGTTAAATCACCAACAATCCTTACTAACCCCACACAGCAATGAGTATGCAACTGTGCCACTTAAACATTGTGTAATCTGATGTCAAGTCAATTGTAAAGTGATGCTGCAGTGAGCTATTTCTTTGATTCCTGCTATTCAGGCCATCAGTTTCCTCTCAGATTCTGATTATATAAACATTTTCTCACTGTTATGACACATTTTATCCACCAGGATCAGCTGCATTTTTATGTAGGGCACAAAAGTGTTTTAAACCTATGGAGGTTTGGGGAACTTAGAAAGCCGAAACTGAGGACTGTCTACAAATCATTGCTGAATCTGCTTGAATGAGGCACAATTGCAGCATCTCCCATTGTGTAGATTCAGAAAGAATGTAGGAAATTGAGGGGTGACCTTATTGAGGTTAATAAAATCATGAGGGGCTTAGATAAGGTGAATGACAAGAGTTTTTTTTTCCCTAGAGTGGGGGAGTTCAAAACCATGGGAATTATTTACAAGGTGAGAGGAGAAAGATTTAAAAAGGACATGATGGACAATTTCTTTACACGGAGACTGGTTTGTGTGTGAAATGAACCGCCAGAGAAAGTGGGATGCAGGTATAGTTACAACGTTTAAAAGACATTTGGATAAGTTCATGAATAGGAAACATTTGGAAGGATATGGGCCAAGCACATGCAGGTGGGACTAGTTTAGTTAGGGAATATGGTCAGCATGGACTGGCTGGACTGAAGGGTCTGTTTCCATGCTGTATGACTTTATGACTCTATAAATTTTCTATCCCATGTGTTGCTGGAAGTGTGAACTCATAAGGGTGTGGTGAAGGCAACAGAGTATATCAGATCTGAGTGAAGGATATGATTCAATGATTCAGAAAGAAACAGAAGAGCCATTGAGAAGGAAGCAGAGTGAATTAGAGTCAGATCAGGTACAGAAAGAGAAATTCAAAGAAGGAAAGAATGCTCGATTTAAGAAAGAGTGAGGAAAAGAGACAGAGAGAAATAAAAGAATTGAAATTGAATTAGATTCTATTCTACAAGAAGTGCCAGTAATTTCTTCTTTATTTTTATCTGATCCAATTTCTCTGCTGCCTCCTCGATTGCGACATTGACAACATCTTCTTCTCTAACAAAGACAAATGCAAGATATTCACTTAGTTTTTCAACCATGTGTTCCATCTCCACAAGAATGTCTTCTACTTTGGTTCCTTTGATTTCCATTTCAACTGTTTAAGTTTCTAAAATAATTTTGAGTTAATGTTTATGTTGGACTCATCTACTCTCGTAATCTTGTGCTATTCTTAATCCCTTTTTTATGACTTGCTCTGTATTTTTAAGATTTAGCTTGGTTCTCACTTTTTTTATTTATTCATTCATGAGATGTGACTGTCAAAGGAAGCATTTTGGCATCCTTAATTGCCCTTACAGAGGTGGTGGTGAACCACTTACCCAAGCTACTTAGTCAATGTGGTGAATGTTCAACCCTTATTGGTATTAGGTAGCAAGTTTCAGGATTTTAACCCAGCAACAATGAAGGAACAACAATGTATTTCAGTATGTCTTCAAGAGATCATGAAAATATTGGTGTTCCCATCCACTTCCTGCTTTTCACCTTCTCGATAGCAAAGGTCACAGATTTGAGAAGAACTGTCACAGAGATTGGTGTACACATCCTGCATATGTACACAATACAGCACGGTGTTTGAGTGAATACTTAAGATGTTGAATGTGTTGCCAATCAAGCAGGTTACATTATCGTGGATGGTGTTGAGCTTCTTGAGTGTTGTTAGAGCTGCATTCATCCAGGCAAGTGGAGAATATTCCATCGCACTCCTGACTTGTACATTTTAGATAGGTTTTCAAGAGGCAGGAATCACTTGCCATAGAACACACAGAATATAAGCTGTTCATGTAACCATAGATTTGTGTGGCTGGTGGAACTAAAGCTCTGGTCTATGCTGATGGGTTTAGTAATGATAATGCCTTAATATGAGCTGTACTTATGTCCAAACCTTACATTTGTCATAAGTCCTTTTCTGTCTTATTTTAATCTACATATCTTTATTTATCCAAAGGGAGCTCTAGCTTTCACTGTCCATGGGTGAGTTGACACAGAACATGTAGGGACAAAGGGTGCTGGGTGGGAGGTAAGGTTGATATGAGTTGGCATTAAGCTGGCATGGAGTTATAAGGGGCTGTGAGGGAGCTGGAGGCATGGTTTGGCACGAGTTGGCATGGGTAATGGGCTTGGAAGTTGATGGGCAGTAAGGGCCTAAAATTTAAGAAAACAGGTGGATCAAGTACCGGAAAACAGACAAATCCTATGCAAACAGCCTGCCTTGGCATTTATCAGCCCCTGCGACTACCTCTGATCTTAATCTGGGGCAGATACAGGCAGAGGGCTTGACTCCATCCCACCCACATATCACCCCCAGCCCCCTCTCACCACCCCCACCCCCCCACGAAATCAGCTCAAGAGGGACATACTCTCCTGAAGCTGTTGTAGCAAGATGTGAAATTTCCTGCCTGCCTTGGGAGCAAAAGTCTAGCCCTCTGTGTCTGGATTACGTAAACAGCTCACTGGAGTGGGATTTGAACTCACAACCAACTGACTGAGTGGTGTGAGTGTTACCCCTGCACCTTAGCTGACATCTAAGGAGAGGCCCATTTTCCTACATATATACCGTGCATTCATTGGTATTTTTGAATGGAAAAGAATGACAACAATTAGAGTGAAGTCTGATCGGAAATAATCTCCTGCAAAGAGCTTAAAAGCACTGGTAATATCAAACTGCAACGGAAATCACAGACGTCATGTGAAACACAACATATTGCATTTTAGTAAATCGAGTTTAGAGTGTGAAGTGGATCTGTTTATGTTTATCCTGTCTATTTTAACTGTGAGTTATTGTGCTGCTTTTGGGTGGCATGTGAATATAAACACTAATGGTTCCGTGTGAGACACTCCAACATGGTAAGTGGTGTACGCATTGTATCGGATTCAATATTGATTGTAATGCAGTGAATTCTCTTGGTGATTAAGCCAGCTAAACTGGTTGCGATGTAAAAGGGGTTGGTGTCTTGCAATTATTGGTTTTCATGCAAAATATTCTGGCATACTCAACGGCGTTAACAGCGAGACATCTCAGTTTTCATTCACACAGGTAAACAAAAGTTATCTACAGCTGACTCTGCTTTCCTCACTGGTCACCCATCCAGCAAGGCTCCGCTCTCCTGTTGCAAAGAACAGGGGGCCACACTAATTGACACCCCAGCCTCCCAAGGACATATACTCTGCAAATCTATGTAAGCAAAAATTAGCCCTATACGGGGTATAGCTTTCCCACAACTCTGAATGCCTCTTCCATTGAGATTGGCAGCAGGCTACTTCAAGGGCACTGAATAAATGCCGGCTGTTGCAGTAATTTGTATCATTTTTCTTCTAAAAAATTTAAATAATGTATTTGAAAACTGAATGGAGCAAGGCCTACTAAAGGTGAACTGAATTATATAGAACTTACAGCACATAAATCCAACCAATCTACGCTGATCGACCTACCCCTTTCATTTAATCCTATCATGATTTTGGGTGTGAGTCACCAACTCTCCATAGAAATAGACAGGTTTTGCTACCACACAGTATGTGGGAGCACTAAGTGCTTCAAAGTACAGATGCTAACTTGGAACTTTGGGGCAGGTGGAAAATACCCTGATAATTTTTTTTCTCAAGTTATAATTTAGATTAGCAATCAGACTCTGACTTAGAACTTGAAAACTGCAAGCTAATTAAGACGGGTAATTATTTAAAACTACCTGGCAATGGCATTTATCTGTCAATCAACAGATACATTGAACAGGTATTAATCACTGCAGCAGGAAGTTGATTTAACAGTTGCAACTTTAAGTACAAAAGTAGACATACTTTGCTCCTGCAGACTATGGAAGCATAGAGTGAGTTGAGGAAAGAGTGCTTCAAGATATAGTTGTTAACTTAGGAATTCAGTACAAATACAGTGGTGAAGAAATAAAGGAGGTGCTCTTTTTGTACCTTTTTCAGTCTCCAGTAGTTGATGAGTGTACAAAAGCAGTAATCAGTAAATGGAAGGAGATTGGTTGGTGAGTTTCAAAATTTTATCCCTCTAAACTGGGGCAGTAGATTCAATTGATACTGGGAAGGTATCAGTATAGTATTAAATTTATAGCTTAAAGAGTTTGATAGGACTGCAGATTTCAACTGAGTGATGATTTGCTTCAGATTGTCTCTGATTTATGAAGAACAAAGAACAAGAACAGGCCATTTGGCCCTCCAAGCCTGCAACAACAAATTTTGCCCTTCCACACTAAAACTGTCTTCATTTACAGGATCCGTATCCCCCTATCCCCTTCCTATTCATGTACTGACTGGTCTCAACTAAATGATGCCTTTTCTAAACTAAAAACCTTTTGCCTCCATGTGGTCCGTATCTGTCTATTCCCTGCCTATTCATGTACCTGTCAAGATGCCTCTTCAATGTTGTCTTGGAAAAGACCCATACGTCAGATTATCTTTTCACCACAACTATTAATGTGGTAGTGAGTTCCATATTCTCACCTCTCTCTGTGGAAAGAAATATTTCTTGAAACCTCAACAATTTATTAATATTATATTGTCTTATATTTATTGTGTCCTGACTTTATTCTCACATGTTTTGATCGCAGTCTTCACTTTCTCATGTTGCAGTGATGGTTGGGCAGACCGGGAGGAAGTGATTGAAGCCTATGAGCAGGAGGCGGTGGGAGGGATCACAATCAAGCTGCAGTCCGCTGAGGTCACCTGGTTCGATGACTACTACCTGAAGCTGAATTTGGAAAGCAACACCCGCAATCCATGGTTTCCTGAGTTCTGGCAGCATCGCTTCCAGTGCCGTTTGGAGGGGCACCCTCAGGAAAACCGTTCCTTTCAGAGACTCTGCACAGGTACAGGGAAGGTTCAGTCACACCTGCCCCCTCTCTCAATACCATGTGATAATTACTTCTCGGAATTTAAAGTCACTACATTAAAATGGCAGCACAAGTTAAAACGATGAGGCAGCTTGGGAATTTATGGGTCACCATTTCACCATTCCCTGTCTGTGAGCACGCATTGTGAAATTCCCTGCTCCCACATGAGGGGAAAAGGTGCATTAAAAGAGAGTTGAATGATTCTTTCATTCTTTATCTTTGTTCTCTATTTCATTTGCAATTGTAGTTCAAAAATATAAGATCCCCAAAAATAAAACACAAGGAAGCGGAGTTTCCGTTTTTGGTGCAATCGAGATAGTGAATACTCTGCCTGAACATCTTTTGATCCTTCCCATTGAATCTTTCTTTCTGATCTGAGTATATTTTTGCAGAGCATGATGAAATATCTTTCCCTTAGTTTATTCTCCCTGCTTGCTACAAACAATATTCTTCTTAATTTTTGCTCTTATTTAAGTTGATGACACTGGTTTGAGTCACTGTCCCTCAAACTGATTTTGAAGTTCTACCATGTTGTGATCACTTCTCCCAGCAACTCATTATTCTGTCATTAACACTAGTCCAACTAATGGAACAGATGCTTTTCCCCCAGTACTGGTGTCAGTGGCACATGAATCAGAGCCAATTTATCCCATACCAATCTCTGAGCTATGCATTTACCTCTCTAAATGTATTCACCCTATACCAGTTTGCATGTGGCTCGAGCAGCAATCTGGAGATGATTACCTTCGAGATTCTGTCTTCTAATTTAGCCCTGAGTTGCTCGCAATCCCACAGCAGAACCTCTTTCCCACGTCACTGATTTCTACAAAGACCATGACAACAAGATCCTTTCCCTCCCGCACCAAGTTCCCCTCCCATTCCAAGTTCTTCTCCAAGCAAGAAGAGATCTCCTGAACCTTGACACCAGGTAGCCAACACAGCTTTTAGGAATCTCTAACTTTGCTGCAGAGAACAATAACTATTTGCCTAACTATGCTATTTCCTTTTATTCTGGTATTTTTGGCATAGGTGCTCTCTCACTATTTATGAAGCAGTTGTCCCCTCTTTCTCCCTCTCCTTATAAATCTGCTATCCCCGGGCGCTCCCTCTCTCTTTATGAAACATAGGATCCTCCATTCTCTCGTTCTATTAGGTGCTGGTGACTGTCTCTGGGTCCTTCTCTTGCTCATTCTTATGGGGCTTGATTCAGGTAAATGGAATCTTGAACCTGTACATAAAATTGTAAACAAAAACACAAATGTGAGTGGTCTGGCTATAACTCATGTACATCTAAAATTCCACATTCTTCTGAACTGCTTTGATGATGTCTGCTGGAAATTTGACCCTGACGTGTTGTAACCCTGATCTGTGACATGGTTCTCATTCCACAAATGCAGCTTAATGTCATCACACTAATTGAACACAGGGCTATCGATCTAAATGATTCCACACTCGGCATCTACTGCACAGTCAAAGTGTTGTTCACTCTTCTCCACCTGAAGGAGATCAAAGCAATCATTATGAGTTATGTGCTCTAATGTTGTAAAAGGTGACAATCTCCAAATGGATTGTTGACTGTGTCACTGGCCTTTACAATGAATTGGTTTTCCTCTCTGTATGAAAACCTTACTCATGGGAACTGAAAATTAACGCATCTCTTCTAGTATTCTGGGTTGATTGAGCTCTCATTCTTGAAGAATCAATCCATTCGATTTACCTGACTGTTCTTAAAAGGGTTCCACACTGGATGACGACACCTCACCCTTGTTATAACGCAGAGGTTGACCCCACCCTTTGAGAACTAACACTGAAACACCCAAAGAGGAACAACTCGTCCTATAGTCTGTAAAAGGAGTGTGAAAGGTGAAAGGTGCCTTTGAACAACTTCTAGTGGTTAAATAGAATAAATCCTTGACACGTACTTTACAATCAACAAGTAACAATTTATTTACCTAACTCTAACAGTGAACAAGTTAACTAAACTATTAACAAACCAAATAAATCCCTTCTAACTACTAACTATTCATGAATAAAACAAGATTCTAATAGTATGCTGTTCCAATAAATACAAGTCCCACTTATAAAAAAAAGATAGAATTTAGTCTCTCCAAATTACAGCCAGGTTACGTGTCTTCCAGAATGTTCTGCGTCTTTTCTGTTGATTCTTCTGTCAGTATGCTTTCTCCATCGATTCTTCTGTCAGGAATGTTAACTAATTGTACTACGGGTACAATTGCTGGTGCTTTCTCTAAGACATAGTGGAGTCTGTGAGAGCCAGCAATTCTCTCTTGAGAGCTGGGGACTGTTAGCCCTGGCAGATGGCAGTTAGCTTTCTGGGGTTTTGTCCGACTGCCCCATTCCTTTATACCCTTGATAACATATCAATATTTCTTACAATAGTGTTGGTCCGATGTTGTCAAAACCATCAGATTTAAATTTAATTGGTTTTTGGTATCTAAGTGACTTGTTCAAATTGATTGACTAAATTCAAAACTTGTTGTCTTGGTAAAAACTGCTGCTTGGCCCACTAACTGTACTTTTGATACAAATGCTTCAGTTCAGGTCCTCTCTGTGTACTTGCAAACTTTCAAGCTGCTGCTCACAGACATCTGTTTTAAATCTCTAAGAACAGAAAATGCACATAATCTGTTAAAGAGCCACACAATGCTTTCCCCTTAACATTTTACAAACACCTGCCTCCCAATCCACAAGTACTGTACCCAACGTTGCAACATTCTTAGTATCTTGAAAGTTTTGAGGGCTTGATTGCTTTTTTATTGAAATATCAATGCAGGAGCCACCATGCACATAGGAGATGTGACCCATGCTGCCTCAGTGTGTGCGTAAAGGGTGTGAAAATGAACAGTGCAGATACAAGTGGAGGATGTGGGGCGAAAAGTCTGGATCCAGGCATTTTTTGCCAAGGGGGTAGCTCGCGTCAGGACAATTCCTGGCTCGTTGCCCCCAGCCTCAGTAGTAAGACCCTGAAAGGAGGATCCACTCACCAGGGGTTCAAGGGTGTGACAAAGCCAAGTCTGCTGCCCCCAGAAGGGGACTGGAAGCAGCCACTGTGACACTTAAATGCCAAGACCGGTTGGGTTTAAAAGCCCTCCTTCATTCTCTGGGATTAGATCCCAGTGGCTTTGTCAAATGTTAGGCTCCTGTCTAAACCCCTCACACCCCATCAACAAACTCCCCCCCAACCACTCACCATACCAATTTAATACCAGCCCATGATCCCCATCCATCACCACAGCCCCATATAGCTTCAATGACAACTTAAAAAGAGGGCAGTGCATCAAGTAAAGGAAAATGCATGTGAGAGCTGTCCATGTTTTAGATACAGGTGGGTATGTGTGAGGGTGTGTGCGTAAACAAGGCTGTGCGTGTGAGTTTGTTTCTACGGATTGGTGGGGGGGCGGTTTTACAGTTTGTGTGTGTCTTTGCAAAAGTGATGTGTGTCTTTTGAGAGTGAATTGGTGGCATTTTGGCCAAACAGTGCTACATCAGATCAGTGCTATTAAAATAAAATCTCTCTACAAAAGATACAGTGTTCTTTCACCTTAACCCAACTGAGGTCATCAAGTTTTTCTTCTGCAATGCTGCCACATCCTCTGGGCGTTAACCTGCCATTTCGATCCCATACCCAAACTGAGGGGCTGCCTTAAAGGTTTCCTATCCTCACAGAAACACGGTAAATTCCCAGCTGTCTACCCGTGGCAAGTATGTCTCAATGTGGCACCACTGAAGCAGGGAATCCTTTCTTTCTCCGTTAGACCCACCCTTCAGCTTCAGTCTCCTAAAGTGAATTTCCTGCAGCTTCCAATCCACTAGTGCAGCTTCTCTTTGTAAGGAACAAGGCAAAATAAGATGCTGGCAGCAAACATTCAACAGGCCAGGCAGCATCATTGGAGGTCAAAACTCAGTTAGCATTAGAAGCTGATGACCAGCTCAATGAAAAGTTGTGGGCCTCAAACATTAGTTCTTTCTCTTTACACAAATGCTGCATGACCTGCTGAGGTTTTGTTTCCAGTGTGTTTTTATTTTAATTTCCAGGAATCGCAGTGTTTTGCTTTTCTTATTCTAGGGACTGCATCTTAATAAAGTGGAATCTGCCTGATTTGCCTCAGTGTTAAAGGAGCTCCCTGGTGTGCATAAAGCTGTTGGCAATTCTACTGAGAGGAGTGCAGTGCAGGACCACACTACAATCATAGAATCCCTATAGTGCAGAATGAGGCCATTTGGTACACTGAGTCTGCACTGGCTCTCTGAAGAGCATCTAACCCACACCCAGACCCCCACCCTATCCCTACAATCCCACATGTATCACAGTTAATCAAACTAGCCTGCACATCTGTGGACTGTGGGAGGAACTGGAGCACCCAGCAGGAACCCACGCAGACACAGGGAGAACGTGCAAACTCCACACAGATAGTCACCTGTGGTAGGGACTGAACCTGGGTCCCTGGCACTGGGAGGCAGTAGTGCTATCCACTGAGCTGCTGTGCCACCCAGAAATGAGGAGCGTAGATCAAATATAAATGCCACCCACTTATTCAACTCTACCACAGGCAGGTGACTCCTCATCCCTAAATCCAAGCATCCCAATTTCCTGCCCAAAATTTATCTCAATTCTTCTGTGAAATTTGACTCAAAAGATGTTCCTGAGACTTTTCTTGACGTTTTGTTTCAGTTTTTCCTTTCTTTCCAAAAACGTTTTGGGTTCACTGATCAAATGTCATGTGTAATTGTTTGTTTCACCATTTTCAGTCATTTGGAACAGACACAGAAAGTCCCTTGCCAGTAGAAAACCTCTTAGTGACACAAGATTCAGATTCAAATTCAGGGGAACCTCTTCAGTTCTAGCCATCAGCCACGGATGGTGGAGAACCTGTAATATTCCTACCTGCCATTTGGGGGCCTTTGTGAGCAGTGTAGCACCTGAAAAATATCCCCAATTTTGAACCACCAATAGC